CTAAATTAGGGACGGCTAGCGCAGATAGCCCTCGTGTAGCTTTGCGCGAAATTCAAAAACAAACTTTAGCTGATACTCTTTATACCGTGAGGATTTTGTCTGCTCTTTCGTAGAGTAGTTGTATTGTATCCAACGTCCCCTTGAATGTGAGGTTATTTTACTGTTAACATATCGAGCAGAGATAGTTGCAATCCATTGTATGACTGGTATAAAAAAAAGTTGAAATGAGAACAGCTTAAGCGCTTTCAAGGAGGTGATTAGTTCGCAAGGGCCTGTTTGTAAAGCTTTTAATAATTTGTTCTGTTTATTGACTGTGTTTAGTAGTGCGAAATTCTGTTTTAACTTCGGCTTCCTTTCAAATTTACGTTAGTTTCAATTGCATTCCTATTATCAGCCTTTTTTTTTTTAAGTTCGGTGAAATGTAAGGTTGTAGAAGGTCAAATAGTTGTTTAGTTGTATTCGGTAAATTTGTATTTATTTTCTCTCATCTAAATATTTTTTCGCTATAACATTCCATCTATCCAATTCTCGAACCTCTCGTTACCACATATATATAATAAGACGGTTAACAATAATTTGTGATAAGTATAATTTATGCTATACGTTAATTATTGTTTGTGAGTCACCATGTGTTTTTTATTTCTTTTTATGAACTGGTAAATAGCATCAACCAATAATAAAGGAAGATGATCCTTCGATATATAGATTTGAATAGCATCAACCAATAATAAAGGAAGATGATCCTTCGATATATAGATTTGAATAGCATCAACCAATAATAAAGGAACATGATCCTTCGATATATAGATTTGAATAGCATCAATCAATAATAAAGGAAGATTATCCTTCGATATATCGATTTGAATAGCATCAACTAATAATAAAGGAAGAGGATCCTTCAATATATTGATTTGAATAGAATCAACCAATACCCAATAAAGTGTTTTCATTTTCTATCAGCTTGAACAGAATTGACAGATACTAATATCTATGCCCCTTGTGGGTCAACGGCAAGTTTACGGACTTACAATGCTATAATCTAGGGTTCGATCATTCATAAACAAAGTGCAATAGTCCATTATGTACTTTGCACTATGAAAACAACAACATCAACACAGCTGATATTTCTGGCCTGGCATAATATAAAAGCCATGTAATTACAAAGAGATAAACGAACTCAGTTCGTCAAAATAACGCGTACTAAAATTGAAATGCTTTGTAAACATGAGTATATTTTCCTCCATGTAAAGGTCACAATTCCTCCATCCAAGAGTCTACACAAGGGTCTATAGCGAATGTGTAAGCTGAAGGTATAATTTGCTGTTCTATTAGAGAGTGTCGTTTTCAGATAAGAGTATACATACTATGCGTAGTTGTTTGATCCAAACATATGGTGTCGCTACAGGATAGACACATTTTGTGCGGGTGGTTTAGAACATATTTCGACTCACCGAAAAACTTTTGATAAGCAATGAGTACTTAGCTGTTACAAAAGTAAAGTGTGGTTAATCACAAAATAATTACTTATGACTAGAAAGCGACCAGATCTCGTAGAATGATTAGTGTAATGGAAAATATGTTGAAGATAGGTTTCTCGTTTTTTTTTTTGTTTTTTTTTGTAAATTCTAAACCTTGTAAGTGTTACTTGCAAGAGACTTACCTTAAAAAAAAACAACAACAAAAAACATTGTTATGTTGTTTTTGTTTTTTTTTCCCTTACAAGTCCAGAAAATGAAACAGAAGCTCGAATGCTTTTTCGGAGAGGTAATATTTTTATTGTAACCTATTTCTGAAAGCGTTCGAGTTTTCAGGCCGTTTCATGAATATAAATAGGGCATCTTTCTTTTACACTTGTTTTGGAAAATCTTTGTACGTTCAGGCCGTTTCTTGAACTTCAGTAATCCATTTTTACTGACCTACAGTGCTGTTTTACTTTGTTTTTTTTACTGATAACATTCAATAAATTATTTGAACATTTTATCTGTACAGATTTTTTTTCCTTTCGAACTGATTTAAGTACATATATATATATTCGAAGATATAAAAAAAATTAAAGTATTTTTACAACGATTTCTTATGCAGCTATTTACTTTCACTTCTTTTGCGAACATATTTCAGAATCAATTTAAATAGTGCCGTAAGTGTAACAGTGTGGCCCGGGGCATGGCCAGGTGGTTAAGGCACTCGACTCGCAAGCTGAGGGTCGCGGGTTCGAATCCCCGTCCCACCAAACATGCTCCCCCTTTCAGCCGTGGGGGCGTTATAAAGTTACGGTCAATCCCACTATTCGTTGGTAAAATAGTAGCCCAAGAGTTGGCGGTGGGTGGTGATGACTAGCTGCCTTCCCTCTAGTCTTACACTGCTAAATTAGGGACGTCTAGCGCAGATAGCCCTCGTGTAGCTTTGCGCAAAATCAAAAACAAACAAACAAGTGTAACTGTTAATATAGTTCATAAGTTTAGAATATTTTAATAAACGGGTAAGATATATGTATAAAACTAAATAGACGATTATGAACATAATCTAACATTGTACAATCAACATATTCTATTCTCTACTTTTCTTTTTAACTGATAGAATTTATTGATTCATTTAAACAATGGTTTTATAACTTTATAAAATTTAAATGTTACCTTTTATAATTCAGTTAGGCTTAAAACGTTCGTTCCGAGGCTTATTTTTTTACACATATTGTACGTCAATAAAGATATTTTAAGTGTTTTTCTTCTTTTCACAACTGTATAAACATACACATATATATACAAAGTTTCTAATTTCCAATCATAATGACACAATCAAATAAACAATTAGAATATAACGTTTTACTGTACAGAATCAAAATATGTTTATTGAAGCCGTCACCGGCCCCTCACTTAAAACACTCTACATGTTTCGACGTGTTTACGTTATCTACGGAAACACGTAGAGTGTTTTTAAGTGGAGGCTGTTGACGTCTTCAGTAAATATCTTTTAATTGTGTTTAGTAAAACGTTGTATTTATATTATTCATTTGATTTTAAAATTATAAAAAGTTCGAACGCACATACTCAAAATGACTTAATGTATAT